CCACTGAGGATATGACAAATCTGTGACTACAACACGTTCCAAAAACCAGTCTGGTTCATTTCCTAATCCATCTTGCTTGATACGAATATTGGTTATTGCACCGACGTTAGGCGCTTTAACAATAAATTTTGAACTTGTACCACGTCCAAAAGGTGCACACAGTATATCCTTTCCAGAACTTTTATTTTCTTGGCTTAATTCAATTCTTGGCGTGATACCAGTTCTTCCATAAATTGTTATATACACTTTGCTGTTTGTCCCGGCTCCTTCTTGATCACCTGTTACAGTAACTATGGAGTATTCTAAAAATTTTAAAATTATTGTCGAGTGTAAGGTTAGTTAATGGTTTATATCACAGTTTACTTGTTTTAGCACTCCTGATTCCAAATAGTTCACGTGCAATTAATCCATCTTCTTTGTATAACGAAAACCAATGGTTACAGATAAACATGTAACGCTTTTTTGTCAAAGGATGTAGAACTTGTACACTTTCCAAAAGCCAGCTGTCACTTTTCCGTAAACTATCGTGCTTATTATACACAGAGGAAAGAGAATAATGATAAGTAATTAAAACAATTAGTCCCTTTGATAAATTTGAATAAGGCATTAAGAAGACAAATTTTGCGAGATGATATCATTTCATAGTTTCTTTACAACCGCTTTACAACTAACATGGTTAACAATAATAAAATAAAGGTCTTGACAATTACTCAGTTAAATAAAAACAAAACAACAAAAGTACATACTAATGACCAATCATATTTAGATAGGTCATGATGTCCATGGTAGGCGAAGATTGAAGTTTATTGTTTTTTGTACACACAGTTTAGGCTGTATGTGATTAATCCAAAGTGCTTCTGTGGACTCTACTTAAAACAGTATGTACAAGTTCACCTGCAGTTGCGGTGACACCTATATAGGTAGAACCAACAGAATGTTCCAGTGTCGTCGAAAAGAACAAAATCAATATCAATGACTGTTTCACAATTATTTCACATAACTCTAATTCAAGGTTATTGAAGGTGATGATAGAAGTACTTTGGGGATTAATCACATACAGCCTAAACTGTGTGTACAAAAAACAATAAACTTCAATCTTCGCCTACCATGGACATCATGACCTATCTAAATATGATTGGTTATTAGTATGTACTTTTGTTGTTTTGTTTTTATTTAACTGAGTAATTGTCAAGACCTTTATTTTATTATTGTTAACCATGTTAGTTGTAAAGCGGTTGTAAAGAAACTACGAAATGATATCATCTCGCGAGATAAGTAATTAGAATATTTTCTGTGAACACGTCATAAGTTAAACGTACTTTTTGAAGTGTGTGAATAAGTCGGAATCAATGTATTTATGTTTGGACCATATTGCTAATACATACAGCCTTCAAAACGACATTACTATTTTTACCAGTAGAACAGTCTGTCAGGAAACATTGTAGGGTGTGATATTTCTGCTGGTACTGAGACTCCAAGGAATTAGTTTATAAATCGAGCTAAGAACTTATAATGTAAATATGAAATTATAAGAATGGGCTCTAAATTTCAATACAAAGTAATCAAACTGAACTCAGTGCAACAGTCAATAATTCGTCTTTCTCAAGGTTCACTGTTGTCTATATGGACATTAAATCAGCCAGTAGCAACTCACTCGGAATAGAAACCTGCACCAACGTTTTTGTATATCTCTTTATGCTACAAATACGAGTTGCCCATATTTGAGTAATATGTTTGCCAAATTTGAACATGTCACTAAGTTAAAATTTGATCTACTTTGTATTAGCAAATAATGACTGACGCACACATTGCCGCAACCATTAAACTTTTTTTTGATTATAGCTTGATTCTACACCGTAGTCTTGATACAAGTATGGAATTTTCAGCATGTGATATCGGTAGCCCAAATTTATTAGGCCGACCACTGATATCGGTTGTGAGTCGGCAGGGGATCGAACCTCAGATCATGTGTTTGGTCAACGAGAGTCCTAACCGCTGTGCCACCGACGCACAACGTACTAAGTTCAGTACATCTGGTTTAAGTGAGAAAAATAATTTCGCCAGAGAAATACCAATAGCTCTTAAACGACGGTGTAACACTTAGTCATTTGCCTCTTCAAAACCCAAATATCTATCATCTTAAACAAGTTTCCTGTGACAAAATGTACCCTAGAATTAACTTTTATGGCCCAAAGGTCTGAAGTGTAAATAGTTTTAGGTTATTTTTTTTGTTGTGTGCCTGGTAATCCCTATTTGCTGGGAGTATTCCTGTTTGCAACTTGTTGCTCATGCCCACACCATTCATAACTCCACAACCTTAAAATTGGGTTTCCGCGGCTTTCGTTCTATGGCTATGTTTATCGTAAAAGAAGTAGAACTGTTTGGGTCTCCAGAAGAAGTCTTAGGTAATTACAGTCACACTGACTGTCCACTGATTGGTCCAACAATAAAATGTATTCAAAACTCAATTCTGTAAGTAATAATTTTCCGTTATGTAACACATCAAATAAACGGATTCATACGGAATCAGAATGTACCAAAATTTATACAAGAATTAAGGCGTAAGCGCTCTGTGACCAAGACAGTTCTCTGGATTGCTGAGAAACTTAGCCAGTGAGTTTTGTATTTCTGCTCGTATCAATGCGCTACTTTTGTGGAAAATCGCATAGTAAGTTGAAGATTAAGGTCTATAGATATAATTTTTTAATTTCCAAGTTCCACTTTTCAAAACAGATATAAACATGACCTCTAGCCTAATATACCAGATGAGTTACAAATAATCGAAGATAACTTAAAAAAGGCTACCGGAAAAATTCATACACTCAACCAAGTTTATTCCTGATCACAGCCTTTTACAATTATTAAAAGTAATAATAAGTACTTCGGATATAATCTATGGTTCTCACAGACATACGGCTATAAAGTTTACATGAAATAGAAAGATATTATTTCACTCATCTCTATTTAATTTTTCCATGAAGGTTTAGACAAAACAGCAGCAGTGTTAGTCCTGGGAGTGATAAAACATTCCATTTAGAATCAAAAAGGTGGCTAAAAGACAGAAGTCTAGTACAACGCAAAGTGTACTTTTTAAATAATTGCGCTTTGAATAGAAAACTATGAAGAAACAAAGTGGGGTAACTAAATCATGAAGAAACAATGATAAAGTACTCAGTAAAGAAACAAAAGCCAGGGAGAATATTCAGAACTTCAGAGATGACAAAAAATAAGTTCTTCTTTCACAGTGCTAACGATTCTCTGATTTATTACCAAAAACCCAACGGCTGTTTCCTAGCATCTTATGAGATTCGTCCAGACATTGCTGTTACCCACAGTAAAAGAATTTGGAGACTAATATCATTTTCAGTCTGGTCAAATCCAAACATCTGATGGCCTAGTTGTAATTACTCTGCGACCACTCACAAAATGACAAGCTGCTTAACTTTTCAACGCATTATTATGTCCCTGGGTATTAAATTTAAATTTTTTAGAGTGCAAATACCAACCAATAATTTTCGAATCAGATTTTTTCTTCATAAAGCCAGTTGAAACTTTTACACCGTGCTTTTGGTCTCTTTATCAGGAGTTAGTGACCAAATCTAAGTGTGACAAATGTCATATTACAGGTCCTCCAACAAACCCAAAGCTTCGAAAGTTCACTGGTTCTCTTTTTTTTTAAGTCCTTAAGCACATTCATTTCAAGACTCACGCTTCATAATAGTCTGTGGCTTACATTCAGTATGCTGACGGTTAATCGTTAAATACTGGTATTAACGAACTGTATCTATAGCTAATCACTACTTTCTACTTAGTCAAATCAAAAACGTTAGGGATAAAATCCACTATCAAAACACCTTTTGAAGAATATCCGGATACACTGTCAAGTAATGAAACATCTAAGAATGTTGGATTCAAGATTTTATTGCGAATTTCATGTCTTTTACCCAAACTTTTAACTATTTGAAAATACATCAGTCAACTTGCTAGCTAAATAGTCAATTAAAGTCTATAAAAATCGATGTAAATCTACACACTTTTCGTAAAATTAGGTAGGTGTTATAAAAATCAATCTAAAACGCTTAAAACTAACGTCCTAAAATGTTAGCAAAGAAGAGGAAATTAAATTTCGTAACTGTTTAAAAAATTACCTCGATAAATACAGACTGCAATGCACCGAGATCAGGAGAAACCACAGAGAATGTGTGTGTTGACCCAGGGAATAGATGCAAGCGTGATTCCTTCAAAATAGTTTTGCTTTTTCTTAGCTTCTGACGCGTTGACGAACCCCATTCACCTTTGAGTGTGATGTAGATCTCCCAGAATTATTTAACAAACCGATTTTACCTGAGCAGATGTACCAGCTCCGTGAATATCTGCAGTTGTAACGATCACTTTATATAAAGTGTAAGGCCTTGAAGTAAAGGGTTTAACGCTGCTAATAAGGTTATAACGGTCTAAATGGCACGTTTTATGACCACAACACTCAACTTTGGATTGAATTTCCTCGCCTGAATCGCGAAATGAAAACCGACTTCTTCCATTTTCGGAGGTGAATGGATTATCAGCTAGTTCGTTAGAATCCATTTCAAAGATTTTAATAGTTAAATAAGAATTAATGTCTTTTTATAACATATTAAAGTATTTGTAAAAGAGCTGCTATTTTGTCATGAATACAGGATAACTTGAACAGTTTAAACAAAGTGCAACACACCTGTTCAACCAGCACTCCGTCAGTTACTCACCTTTGGTTTTCTTAAATAAATACTCTGTTTACATCAAGGATTTTTCGTCAAACGAAAAAGTATTAGCTTCAAATAGGACACAAGAAAATAATATTCAGGGCCTCCGAAAACTGAGATGCATTGAATTAATTGAAACCCAATGAATCTGTAGCGGTAAATAATTCCCCAAAATTATTGACCACAGCAATCACCATTGGATGCTGACCACCACTGTTTAAGTCGACTTGTTTAGCTGAAGGCTTCCGGTCAAGCATCCCCGCCATTTGGTACCCCGTCGTGTCACGTGCACGATCACTAGCTAGCTAAGCGTTCGTCTGAAGGCTTGTTTTGGTCCCGAAATATATCACGTAGTTTGGACGATCAAATATTGGCTTTTGCTTTGTTTTGGTACGCGAGAATAAATTAGAAGTTGCTGTGTAAGATAATTCCGTCAACCTCTAAACTGGTGAGCCCAACCGCGAACTTCATCCACGATAAATCCGCAGATAACCCCGGTGAGTTCGTTCCATTTTGTATTTGTTCTTGTACCATATATTATTCGACATAATTTTCGTCATGAGTGATCTTAGTCCCAAGGTCATTCGTATCCGCTCAACTCCTAAAACCATTCAGCTCGTACCATACTGGCCAGATAATGCTGAAACGTGGTTTCTGCTAGCTGAAGCAGATTTTTGTGAGCATGGGATAACCGATCAACGTTCACAGTTACTTGCAGTTATTCACGCCCTACCGCGGGAATTCAGCAAGTACGTAACATCACAGATGTTGAGTCCCGAGGTAAGTAACTCGTACGAGTTGCTCAAAGCATCCCTCCTCAGGAGAAACGTTCTCACGGACCGACAACGTCTAGATGAATTATTTCGTAACATCGAGTTAGGAGATCAGTCAGCCGTGAGCATGCTGACAAGAATGAAAGAAGTCGTCGGCCAAAGTCAGTTCGACGAAGGACTATTTAGAGAACTCTTCTTATCCAAGCTGCCACAGTCTGTACAGACCGTACTTGTGACACTTCAGGGTACTGTAATAGAGGACTTAGCTATTACTGCAGATAAGATTCTAGAAATAACTAAACGGTCAGTTCCCGAAATATGCTCGATGACTAAGCAGACTTCGAGTAAGGATCCTGCAATGATAGAGTTATGCAACTCCATCCAGCAGATGTTTAGGTCAAACATGCATTCTAACTCCTCCGACCGTCGTCCTAAATCTCCTCAACGCAGGAACTCACGTGGTCGATCTAAGTCCAAACCACGTTCACTGAAAAACCCTGACTGGTGCTGGTACCACAACACCTATGGCCAAGAAGCGAAGTGTTGCCGTAAGCCTTGTAACTTCGGAAATGTCTCAAAGTCTGTGGGAAACTATCCCGCCGGCACGCGTTAGCGGCAACCGTCGCCGGTGGCACTAGCCGCCTTCTTTACATCCATGATGTGATAAGCCAGACTCGATACTTAGTCGACACAGGCGCCGAAGTCAGCGTCCTTCCTGCTACAGCAGCAGATCGACAGAAGGAACCTACCTTCAACTTACAGGCTGCAAATGGAAAACCAATCGCAACCTTTGGTAGGAAATACGTCTATCTGAACGTAGGTTTACGCAAACCTATTCGATGGATTTTCCTTCTCGCTGACGTTACAATGCCCATCATTGGCACGGACCTACTTAATCATCATGATTTACTCGTAGACGTCCGCCGAAAACGACTGATTGACAATACTACTAGTCTGTCTATCAAAGGCATCAGCTACATAGGCCCTAGTTTGTCACCCGTTAAGATAAAGGCAATCCTTGATCCAACTTTTCAACCTATGGTTGACAAGTATCCGGAACTTAATTGCCCGTCGAACGACCTACCGTGCATAACCAGCAATGTTATGCACCACATCATTACCACAGGACAACCTGTGACATCTAAAGCACGACGATTAGCTCCTGACAAACTGAGAATCGCCAGGAATGAATTTGACCATATGCTTACCCTTGGCATCATTCGACCTTCGAATAGCCCATGGGCATCCCCACTTCATATGGTTCCGAAAAAGGATAGCAACGATTGGCGACCCACCGGTGATTACCGGCGAGTGAATGCCAAAACAACCCCTGATTGCTACCCGTTGCCTCATATACACGACTTGACGGCAACCTTATCAGGCGCGACTATATTCTCCAAAATCGACTTGGTTAAAGCGTATAACCAAATCCCGATGGCAACAGAAGACATCCCGAAAACGGCTATCATTACGCCTTTCGGACTTTTTGAATTTCTACGTATGCCATTCGGTCTCCGGAATGCAGCCCAAACATTCCAACGCTTCATTGACGAAGTATTTCGCGGTCTCGACTTTGTATACGCATACTTAGACGACTGCCTCATTGCCAGTCCAGACAAGGAAACTCACCTTAGGCACTTGGACTTGGCATTTGAAAGGTTACGCCAACATGGTGTTACCATTAATATTCAAAAGTGTCAAATCGGTGTTGACTCACTCGACTTCCTGGGTCACACTATTGACTGCAAGGGCATTCGCCCACTGGCTACTAAGGTCGAGGCTATACTGAACTTTCCAGAGCCACAGACAGTGAAAAGTCTCCGCACTTTTAACGGCTTAGTAAGTTATTATCGACGCTTTATTCCCAACTGTGCCTCTTTGATTCAGCCATTGACAGACCTCCTTCGAGGGAATAACAAGTCCATAGAACTTGACGCGTCTGCTCGAAATGCTTTTACCCAGATTAAAAAAGCTATTGCGAATGCCACACTTCTGATGTATCAGGATCCAACGGCACCGTTAAGTATCTCGGTTGATGCATCAAACACTGCAATCGGCGCAGTTCTACAACAGCTAGTTGACAATGAGTGGCAACCACTCGCCTTTTTCTCCAGGCGCCTTCAATTAGCTGAAACGAAGTACAGCACATTCGGCAGAGAACTTCTGGCTATGTACTGTGCTATACGACATTTTAGACATTCGGTAGAGGGTCGTGAATTCATAATTTTTACGGATCACAAACCTCTGACGTACTCTCTGAACTCACCTTCAGATAAGTATTCACCCAGGGAATCACGACAACTGGATTACGTTTCACAGTTTACATCAGATATTCGCCATGTATCCGGAGTAAACAACACTGTGGCAGATGCCTTGTCGCGCGTTTGTTCCCTCACCCAAATCGACGGCATAGACCTTGTAAAACTGGCTCGTCTTCAAAAAGAAGACACCGAACTTCAACATGAGTTGTCGAAAACAACTCTACAATTAGCTGAGAAACCCTTAGGTATGGGAAGAGATACTATTCTATGCGACATTTCCACGAGTACTCCTCGCCCCATCGTGCCTAAAAGTTATCGCCGTAACGTCTTCAATACGTTGCATGGCTTATCTCACCCAGGTATTCGAACTACTGTCAAGCTCGTAACTAGTCGGTTTTGTTGGCCTGGCTTTAATAAAGAAGTAAGGAAATGGGCACACACGTGCTTAGCTTGCTAAAAGTGCAAGGTGATAAGACACACCAAAAGCCCACTTGGCACCTTTCTTCTCCCTGACGCTCGTTTTGAACACGTCCATATAGATTTGGTTGGACCCCTTCCTAAATCCCATGGATATACTTATATTTTAACTTGCATTGATCGCTTCACACGATGGCCGGAAGCAGTACCCATCAAGGACGTATCTACTGAAGCAGTCGCACACGTCTTTGTAGAAAGATGGATCGCTAACTTTGGATGCCCATCTTCCATAACAACTGATCGCGGGCGGCAATTCGAAAGTGGCTTATTCTTCGCCCTGACTAAAATCATAGGTTGCATGCGTTTTCGAACAACAGCACATCCTCAAGCTAATGGTATGGTAGAACGTCTTCACAGACAGCTGAAAGCTGGTCTGTCAGCTGCAAACACCACCCGTTGGACTGAATCCCTTCCGTTAGTTCTCCTAGGGATACGAAACGCCTTGAAAACTGATACTGGTTGTACTAGCGCCGAGCTAGTATATGGCACGACACTGCGAGTGCCTGGTGAATTTTTTCTCCCTCGAGCTTCCCACCAGTGGTAGATCACGCTTCATACGTCAGCAGGCTTACAAACGCAATGCGTTCAGTTAAACCTGCTCCCCTTCGTCCACAGTCCATTGATGTTTTCGTTCATCCGTGTTTGAAAACTTCTTCACATGTATTTGTTCGTCGCGACTCTGTGCGCAGACCCCTGGAACCTCCATACGACGAACCTTATAAAGTAATTAAACGTTCTGATAAATTCTTTGTCTTGGACAAAAACGGCCGCGAGGACACCGTCAGCATTGACCGTCTGAAACCGGCTTACTTGGAGGGTAATCCTATTAGCATAGAGCTCAACGTACCCCAAAATCCACAAGTAACAGAAGATCGTTTAGACCTCGATGAAGTCACTAGCACAGCGAGAGCTACCGAATCTTCTGCTGAGCCTCCTAAGAAAACCCGTTCTGGACGCACCGTAAGGTTCCCAGAATATCTCGATATACACTCGATATACACCCTACTACTAATATGACACAAACTCCATCTCCACTCACACCAAATAAAATCAGCACTGTTCAATTCACTTACGCTAATATCAACCAAACTATAAGAACCCTCAAAAGTTCAAAAGGTTTCGGTACCGACGGTATATCATCCTACTTCTATAAATATGGTGGCCCTGACATTCCTCTACTGCTTCTTAAAATATTCACAATGTCCCTAGAAACTCAAACTTACCCTGACATATGGAAGACAACATTTATTATGCCTAAACACAAATCTGGCTCGAAAACTGAAGTCAGTAACTACCGGCCGATCAGTATCACACCTATAGCATCTAGAATTATGGAGAGACTGGTCAAAGATAACCTAATCAAACATATGCTTAGCTGGAATATTATAAGTCCAAACCAACATGGATTCCTGAAATCCAGATCATGCTTAACATGTCACCTAGACTTCTTCAATTTTGTAACCAGCAGTCGTGACAGACGGCAACTAGTACTCGTCATCTACTTTGACATTTCTAAGGCATTTGACCGTGTTGACCATTTACTGCTAACAAATAAGCTGAACTCCTTAGGAATACGTGACCCATTATTAGGATGGCTTAAATCATTCCTTAACAACAGGTCCCAAATAGTTAAACTCGGGTCTGCAACCTCCAAACCTAGCCCTATCACTTCTGGTGTAGTACAAGGTAGTGTCATTGGACCCCTCCTATTTACGCTGTACATCAATGACATATGCGCTTGCTTCACGCATGGGAAGCCATTCATCTTTGCAGATGACCTGAAAGTAGCCTATACATTCCAAAGTGATGACTTAGGGAACTTCGAGAATGTAGTGCAGAAGGAATTAGATAAAATGACTGCTTGGTCGTCCCTATGGAACCTCCAATTCAATCTGAAAAAATGTGGCTGGATCTGCTTCGGTGCACCCTCAAATGACCTGAAATTAACGCTTCAATCCGCTAACCTAACCAGACTCCGAAGTGTCGTTGACCTAGGCCTGAGGTACTCTAGTGACTTGACATTCTCTGAGCAAGTAGCATCACAGACTAGAAAATCGAGGATGCTCTTAGGATGCATACTCAGGAACTTCCACGACAATGAAGCCAAGCTAATTCTGTACAAAACATGTGTCAGACCACTACTAGAATACTGTCCATTTATTATAAGCAGCACTCGCACACGTGATAAGCTAAGGATGGAAAGTATCCAACGATATTTTACCTCAAAACTACTTGGCTATGATTGTAAGAAAGACTACACCTCACGGTGCATGATCCTAAAACTTGACCCACTTTGGACAAGGCGACTTATTATAAACCTAATATTCTTCTTTAAGGTCCTTCACAAAATATCTTTCTCAGGTAACAGGGACATACAATTCGCACAGGAAGGTTCTTACGATCTGCGTAACCAAACTTCCACAGTGACAACTCATTCTTTTAGGTCAACACTCCGTGAAAACTTCTTCACAGTCATGTATTCTAAAATATGGAATAGCCTTCCCCTAGATGTCAGAACTTGCTCTTCGGTTACAAGTTTCAAACGCTCTCTATACAGACTGTTTCACTCTACTGACTATATCAATAAACTATTTACTCCTAAAACGAATCAACTACTAATCTACTACAGCACCTAAAAAACGCACTTCAACACCCTTAACAATCTAAAAACCATAAATAAACTAGCGGCATGGATGCATAAAGACTTAGTACGGAACATACAGGAATAGTTTACCCCTAGAAATAGGACGTGTCACTTTATTGTAACCTTCAAACGCTTGCTATATAAACTGTTTTATCCCAAAGTCTATCCCTACCAGAACTCATTACTTACTTCTAAAACGCATCAGTCATTAGAACACTAAAACGCTCAGACTCATTAATACACATCATGACACTAAATAGACTCTAAGACTTCGCATAAATTCGTAAAAAAAACTATAACTAAAAACAATTTCTTAATAATTTATTATACAGCTGACATAAACAATTATATATATACATTAATGTCCCTTTAATGTTCACATACTTTATCTTTTTGGTACTCTGATACTCCTATTCATCTTCTGGTCGAGGTCGAACAACCCTGCATCTAAACTGAAATGAGATTCAGATTCAGATTTATTGGTTGAGGATAGAAGGCTTGCAGCCTATGTTAATCCTTTTCTAGTAGATTTCTGTGGTTGTCCAAACCCTTCTTGAACGAATCAATTGAGGTTGCAGACACCACTTCTTCTGGGAGTCGGTTCCAAGAGTTTATGACTCGATGTGAGAACCAGTACTCAACAGCAATATGATTTCTCCTTGGCTTTTGAACTCTCCTGCTATGTCCTCTAAGGTGTTCCGACCTGGTGGGAAGGAAAAGAGAGAATAGGTCAGGTCCGTAGTCATTATTTAAAATTTTAAACATTGTGATTAAATCTCCTCTCTGCCTACGGTATGACAGTGAGAAGAGATTTAAACTATCTAGTCTTTCCTCATATGATAAGTTATCTATGCCGTGAACCATACGTGTTGCCTTCCTTTGAACACTTTCTAGAATGTGTGAATCCCCTTTTAGACACGGACTGGCGGCCTGGATGCAGTTTTCCAGTCTTGACCTAACCAGAGATGTGTATAAGGAGGTGAACATATCTCTGGTAATTCTTGTGAAGGCTCTGCGAATCGCCCATAAGGACCTGAAACTACGTGCAGCCACCGCGCGACAGTGTGCTGTAGTTTTTAAGTCGTGGCTAACTATGACACCTAAGTCCAAGTGAGTCTGAACTGATGGAAGTGTTATTCCCTCTAGTTCGTAGGAGCTCGTGCTTGCTTGTCCAATGCGCATGGTTGCACATTTTGCCACGTTGATCGGGAGCATCCATTCAACAGACCACTCCGACAGTTTGTTGAGGTCGTCTTGCAAGGTGGACGTATCACTGTTGCCCTTCAGCTCCCTCCAAATTTTTAAGTCATCTGCGTATAGGACCATAGGGGAGTCGGTCAGCAGAGGTAACTCATTGATATACAGAATAAAAAGGAGAGGACCGAGAACCGTGCCTTGTGGCACTCCGCTACTTACTGCTGTCCAGGAGGAGAGTTTTGAGTTGATCCTAACCCTCTGCCTCCTATCAAGTTTGGATCCACTCTTTCGCAGGGCTCATCCTCCTTATTGTAACTTTAGAACAACGTCACAGAAAAGAAAACTGTAGAGAAGTTCATCATTTTTTGGTTTACATACCAGGATCAATTTACAGGATAATTGGTTTCTATATACTCTGTATCTTACTTTTTAGTACTTTGTAAATTTATTGTTTATTTATAAGCAATAAAATTCCATACGGTATCCATAGTAGTACTTAATCTGTATATCCACTCGATATACTATTTTTCCATATACCCGTTTTCGATTTAGCTCGGCTTTAACTTTAAACCATATTGATTAGTTTTCAGCAATGGCACAACGTAATAAACGAGTACTTTCCATACGTAAGAATAGTTTGGGTCACTCAGCTAAGAAGATACGTACATCACTGTGCGTTCCGCGTAGCCTCAACAATGTCCCCGAAGTCATTGTTCCCGACTTGTTGTCAGAGGTATATGCAACTGCTGAACAAAATAAGTTGGACCTTATATCTCTAGGAAACTCTGTGAAGGAATTAAATGAGAATATAAACACCATTAAGCCACTACTGCTTCTTTGTAACCCAACTCATGATGCTAATCCGGAAAGTCTGCTGAAATCTGAGCGTATGTTAGACTTTATAGCCAGTGAAGTTACTAAACGAATCATGTCCTCGTACAACGTTCTCGCTTACAATCTGCCTGATCGGACGCCTCTGGACAAAATCAAAGTGACATGTCTCCAAGCGTGTGGCATGCCATCAGCGAATTGCCACCTAATCAGACTCAGGAAAAAATCAGGAAAGTATACTTGCCCTGTGCTGTTTAAATTCAGTAGTCCTAATGATGCTAGGAAATTTCAGTCGTCAAATAAGTTAATTAGTTCATCCACACCTTATGGTAATATTAAACTTGCCCATGACCTAACGCCATGTCAAAGACGTAGCCGCGCAAGTGTACCAAGTGTCGCAAAAACTTACGTAACAGCAGAATGTCCTATAGAAGACTCTGTCGCCTTAAACTTGAGTAAACCTAATGGTACAGACATACATGAAATACTCTTAAATAATAAAAATTTACCTAGTAAACTCAACGATGAAGCAACTACGGTCATAGACTTAGATGCATCTTCAGAGTTATGCTCGCTAGCCACATCACCATCAGCCGCTAATACCACTACCAACGTTAAGCAAAAGACTAAGCTCGAGCATGTAGCATTAAGCATATCCTCCCCGAGCAGCACTCAGATTAGTGAGCATACAAAACGAAGTAAAATAACCCTGCCATCCAGAATACCTGTACTCAAACACATCACTGATAGGTTTCTCAGCAGCGAACCAGATAACATTAACTTAAGCGACCCCAATCATACCACTAAACCAGGGAAGCAGAATAAGCCCTCATACCGCCATAAATCTAACGTCAATGAAAAGAGAGGTAACCCGCCGATTCATCCAACATCAAACAAGTCTTCGTCCGATAGACACAACAGACGCTATATGTCTGGGCACCCTAAAAATAAGTCGAAGCCCGACGGGCAGGCATACACCTACCCCGACACAACTTTCCAATCTATGGCTACTATAGACAAAAGTTTGATCCAGGGACCTCTACAACAAGGAACAAGTGCGCTAGGCATGTTTCCTAAAGGTGGCCTTTTGACTCACCACATCCCCGAAAACCATCGCATACAGACCACCCAAGACCGTCAATGGACTAATATTTACGAAAATAACTTAAACACACAAAATATTAGTCATAACTGCGATACACGTAACTCTACCCCAGCATACTATCCACAAGGAATACCTACCTCCCCCCCATCCAATCTAAATTTTCTCAGCCAACACGAAATTTCAGCCTCAATATTGACGCAAATAGCACACATACTGTCAAGCCACCTATCACCGGATGGGAGGGCGATGCATTGGAGGCACGGTATTATGAACACCTCACACCCGCCGGGGTAACAAACGATGGCACATCTCTCTGTGCTGATACTGGTGTAGGGCACTTTTCCAGCACTGCTAGTAAGTGGCCACCATCTGAGTTAGCACCCATCAAACAATCTGTTCTAGACGCCATAAACCTTGGAGAGAATATTTTTAAAGATATATGCGATTTCACCGTCACCCCTAACTCTCTCTCATTCTGTCTTATCAATGCTCGCTCCTTACTCAACAAAATGTTCGACTTCACGACATTATCCCTAATTTGCAATCCGTCTCTCATAATGATTACTGAGACATGGTGCACTCCTCAGATTTGCGATAAAGATATTTCTATTGATAACTATTATGTATTCAGAGGCGACAGAAACTATGGTAGAGGAGGAGGATGTGCTATGTATATCAGGTCTGATATTAAGGCCACACAGTGCTTCTACCCAGAGCTCATCACAGATAACGATTCAGTGTGGGCTATTCTAAGACTGTCTCACTCCAGTTCCTATCTTATAGGTTGCATCTATCACCCCCCGTGCTCAACCGTTGAAGGTAATATGAAGCTTGCTAGCACGTTCGCTTACGCCACTTCACTACCTCACACGGCTAAAATTATATGTGGGGACTTTAATATGCCCGATGTAGTCTGGCAACCACTTTCCTCACCAAAACGGTACAATGAATTTATCAACATAATAGAAACAAAAGAATGGCAACAACACGTACAGTATCCTACCAGGCTATCTAAGATTTTAGATCTAGTTTTCACTAATGGTATCATCCCCACTACCCTTCGAGTAGGTAAAGAGTTTCCTGGCAGCGACCACAGAGTAGTATTCGGTACATTTAATATTTGCACTAGCATGAGTTCGACAATAAACGCCAACAAAGTATTACTCAGGGGTTACAGACATGCTCAGTGGGATGAACTGAAACCATACATACGCACCCTAGACTGGGAGCCATACTTTACGTGCAGCTCGGCTATAGAGACAAACAAATTACTCTATGAGAACCTAGGATTTGCACATGACTTCATCGCTCCAGTAAGACTTGTGAAAACGAGGCCTAAACAGCCCGACTTCATCCCCGTAAAGATTCGAAACCGACTGCGTAAGCATGCTAGGCAATTCTACAGATATAATGACTTTTCATCACTCATTACACTCAAGCAAACTTATGATTCATACAAATCTAATCAGTTATCTGAGTCCATCAAACTAGAACGCATCCTCCACTCACGACCTGATAATACAGAGGCATTAGTTAAACTAATTAAGTCACGAATCAACAACAACAGAATAAGTATCCCTAACTTATTACTAGATGGAGAAAAACTACACGAAGACCCGCAGGAGATATGTGAGTTATTCAGCTCCCACTTTTCTAGCTACTATACTATCGAAGAAACAGTAGATAGTCTTGAAGTTCCGACAATACCAAATCACTTTTTGGGTAATATAACATTCACCCAACAAAAGATTTCCTCCGCTATAGCATCCCTCCGGACATCATATAACGCTGGGCCCGATGGAATTCCATCTATCTTGTTGAAAAGAGGTGGTGAGGATATACCCATTATCCTACTAAAGTTTTTCATTCTGTCCTTAAATAATGGCAGTTACCCAGAATGCTGGAAACTGTCGTTTATAACCCCTAGGCACAAACAAGGACCAACTTCTAACATCGAAAACTACCGACCGATTAATATCACGTCAGTAGTTTCCAGGGTTATGGAAAAGGTTATAGGGCAAGATATTGCTTCATACCTCCACCTTCACAAAGTGTTTACTCCAGCACAACACGGCTTCTTGAAAAATCGATCATGCTCCACCTGCCTACTTGACTACTTTGATGATGTTACCGCTAAGCGTGATCATGGTTTGTATGTCACAACTCTCTTCTTTGACTTCAAAAAAGCCTTTGATAAAGTCCCACACAAGAGACTAATCCTTAAGCTAAAGTCGTACGGGTTCCAAGACCCCTTGTTATCCTGGCTCATTTCTTTCTTGGAAGATCGTTCCCAAGTTGTGAAATTTGCAAATAATTACTCGTCACCCAGACCTATAAGAAGTGGAGTGATTCAGGGTAGTGTACTAGGTCCACTGCTTTTCGTAATCTACATTAACGACATCTGCAGCGTAATCAAGCATGGTACCCCATACCTCTTTGCTGACGACTTAAAGATTGTATACAGCTTCCCCCATTCTACACTAAACGAAGGATTCACACATATTCAAGATGATCTGGATAGGTTACATAACTGGAGCAATGACTGGCAACTGCCATTCAATTCTGATAAATGTGGTGTCCTATATTTCAATAACTCCCATCCGAATTTCAGGTTACACCTAGGTAACTCTTTTCTCCAAACCCTCAGTTCCATAAAAGACCTGGGAGTTACCTACTCACAAAACTTAACATTCAGTCAGTACGCAAAAGCACTTGTTTCTAAATGCCGAAGACTCACAGGCTTGTTGCATCGAAAAATGTACACAAATGAGGCTAAAGTCCTTTTATACAAAGTCATGGTTCGTCCAGTACTTGAATACTGCACAATTGTCTTCGGTTTCATGCATGGGTATGACAGGGTTCGTATTGAAAATATTCAGCGAAGTTTTACTCGACGCCTATTATACAAACATGAAGGACTGACTTACGCTGATAGGTGCAAAATGTATGGACTTCAGCCACTTTGGTTAAGGCGCCTGAAACTCAACCTTACATTCCTCTTTCGCCTTTTACACGGCTACACCAAAAGCAGTAATCCAATAGCTTTCAATAATTTACCCATATATACTCTTAGGAATCATGAAAATACTCTATCCATATTACGACCTTGACCTTGGCGGCCTGTTGAATTTTTGGGCCTGCTACCAAAATATCTACATTTTGCATCCAGTTTCCTGTTTACCAGCATACACTTATCACTTAAATATGAATTCTAACAGAATCATTTACTCTCGTAACTTTATTAATAATTTACGACCAAATGACTTTCATATTCCAAAGAAACCAAGAAGGAAACATCGTAGTGGTTGGCAGAGAGCTCTCAAACGTACACCAATACACTTAACTACGGTCCCCGTCATAATGAACTCAAACTGTCGCTCTCTACCAAATAAGATAATGTATCTACAATCCCTGATGTCAACTGATACGTATCATAACACTGCCATAATCGCATTACAAGAAACGTGGTTGCATGAACTGTATGATGACAACCTTATCTCACTAAAGGACTTTATTTTATTTCGACAAGACCGTCAATGTTGTAATAAGAAAAATGGTGGTGGCGTTGCAACTTTTATTCACTCCAAATGGTCTGTCTCAAATAACATCTGCTTCACCTTCTCAAATGACTTCATTGACTGTATTACTGTCAAATGTCGCCCCAAACACCTCCCCAAATATCAACAATTCTATATTACAAACATGTACATTTCTCCTAGTTGCTCTCCATCTGATCTATCTAATTTTGCTGATGAATTCACCATGTTTGCTGCTGCCAACTTCGACAACTCTCTATCCGTTATTACTGGAGACTTCAACACATCAGATTGCTCCTTTCTTGAAGCTCTTGGTCACACAAATATAGTCAAATTTCCCACTCGACTTGACAAAACCCTTGACTTGGTTTTTACCAATGATGAAGGAGTATATGAAACACGTAGACGTTCACCGATACATAACTCCGATCACTGCATTGTCCGCGTTTTGCCAAAAATATACAGCAAAACACATATTAAAATCTTCTCACACCTGTCCACGAAGGCACAACAAAGAAGCTACACATCTGACAACTTACTCAATCTAAGATGCATGTTAAAAGATACCAACTGGGATCTATTCTATGAAAGTACATTAGATGACTCAATCACCAATATAATGGATTATCTCAAGTTCTGCCTTGACATATGCTGTCCCAAACAAACACTGTTCAAACGCCTCGACCGCTTCTCGTCTCCCCATCTCAAACAACTTCGCAGGCAAAAAGAAATGTTATATAAATGCAAAGACAAGTTAGGACTTAAAAAGATAAATGCTCAAATCAAATCTGAAATCAAAAATCTTAATGCTATCTATAACCAAACACTTTTATCATGCAAATCTCCAAACAGCATGTGGAAACTTTTCAATGAAATTACTGGCAATAGTAAGCGATGTAATGTTTTTCCCTCTTGTGATGTTAATGCTCTTAATCTGTCTTTTATACGCTCTCCTTCTACCATAACCACTTCTAATGTTACCAATCTTGTAGCTGATAACTTCCAGGACTTCAATACTCTCGATGTTTTGAAATGTCTTAAAACTCTTAAGCCCTCACATAGTCTTGGCCCTGATGGCATACCTGCATATGTCCTAAAACAATGTGCAGATGCTTTATGTTCTCCTCTAACTAATATCCTAAATGCTTCTTTCTCCGAAAACGTTGTACCTGTTCCATGGAAAGACATTAAAATAGTCCCTGTCCCTAAACCTGGAAATAGCAAGAACGTAAAGTTCAGACCCATCGCCATCACTTCCCCGTTTCTAAAGCTCATGGAAAAACTAATACTTCTTAAACTCGAACCCTCCCTTAAAAGCTTCGAAGACCCCAAACAATTTGCCTACAGACAGGGTAGGAGTACTTTAGACGCTGCAGCCGTCTTACACAACAGTATTGTCTCATCATTAGACAAAGGTGCCAAATATGTCCGCTGCACGTTTCTTGACTTTACTTCTGCTTTCGACTCTGTACCTAGAAGTCTCTTGCTAAATAAGCTCTCCACGACACAAACCGAGTCTTGGGTCACTAAGTGGTTGCATTCCTACTTTTCAAACAGAATGCAGTACACCGTATACAAAGGTCAATCCTCCTCTGCTGTGCTCACTGAATCTGGTGTCCCCCAAGGTGCTGTACTCTCCCCACTTCTCTTTTCATTCTTCCTACATGACCTACCGTCTTCAAATGATATTAACTTTGTCAAATATGCTGATGACCTAACTGTATCTTTACCTGTCAAATGTCAAAATGACTGCTCTAAACTAAATGGCTTCTTATCAGAAATTAGCCAATGGTCCAAGGAAAACGGTCTAACCTTAAACCCCTCCAAATGCCAAACAGTTAATTTCACCTTTAGGCATAAATCTGACCTAAACAAACTGGTTAGCGCTCACGAGGTGTGCAACATAGATGGCACTGAAATAGAAACTAAGTCGGAAATTAAATACCTAGGCGTCACTCTATCTTCTGATCTTTCCTGGTCGTCTCATATCTTGACGATTTCCAAGAAAATATACCGTCTTACCTTCTACATCAAGAAGTTAAGACATTCTGGTGTAACCCAACCCTTACTACTACAATTTGTTAACTCCCGTATTCTGCCTATAATTCTCTATTGCTCCCCCTTAGTCTTTCCTGGGCTATTGAAGAAAGACTATACCTTATTACGTAGGATGTTAAAGGTTGTCAGCAGGGTAAGCAGTTTACCACTTAGCCAGCTTGTTAACATTCTGGTGGACAGGCACATGGACTCATGTGAAAAATGGGCGAAGTCCATTTTATCTGACTCACAACACCCTCTACATTCACAACTCTCCCCATGTATCTCTTCAGGGAAAACAAGAAGTCTATATAGGAAACTATATGCCCGCACTAGTAAGTACAAAAACTCATCCATACCCTACCTAGCCCGTGTTCTGTGTGATAAAGAATGCATCAGGCATGAAACCTTTAACTTATTAAATAGTCACTAGAACCAATGAATCTCGTCTTTCCAACTCACATCATTTATAGGTACAACGTTTTTTTTTTTTGCTTTGCATTCTGTATTTATTTTTGTTATGTGCTGTTTTGTTTCTCTCTTCCTTGCAAACTCTACTTAAAACATTCTTGTTCGTTCTTTTACACTCTGTATATCTCGACCATTTTGCTATCGCTTACGCCAGTAAATATGCTAGTAGTATCTACTTTTGTAACACCTTCAAACATTTTAATTTTGGCTTTGCTACCGACATACTAATATGTTGTTGAGATAATCTTTAATCTATGTAGAACTTTATTTATTGTTAATGTAAAAACTGGATGCAATATTGTAGTAAAATGCTGAGAATTCCATTCTGTATCACAAGTACTGATTTGGAATAAAGCTTATATAATAATAATAATAAGCCGGTTCCGGACAAAACTACGATCACGTTTCTTTAAAATACAGTACAGTGCATTATGGAACGAACTTCCACTTACTGTACGTAGTTGCCGATCTCCTACTGAATTCCAGCGTCTACTTAACGAGTTCCTATCAACAAAAGAGCTTCGGTCTACTTATCCATACTTTATCCATATGGGCCGCTCAACTAGCTTTAGTACTACAGACCCCAGTGCAATACCCCCAATTTGAGGAAACTCATTTGCCCCGACAACCGTACCTCATCTATAACGTGATAAAACCAACCTAATCTCTCCCACATGCCTTTACCTAAGGTCCGGTTATTCAGCTTACTAGAGATCCTATCGATATTTCTTCAATCGGGTTTATAAACTCATTAGACTCTCCTGGATGTATAATCCCAAATTAGTTGTGATAGTTCTCCCATAATATAAGCAAACTGGTACTTTGTAATGTCTAAAGCATGCCATATGAAAAGTGGCCAGGAAAACCTAGCAATAACAAACTCAACCAACCAACCATTTTCCTTAAGTTCATTCAACCTACCCTTATCCTTAATCGTACCACTACTCACTACACTCTACTCAGTAGAATATGACTTAATTTGCTCCGGTGCTCAAAACTCTTCTACCCTTTACTTTTTAAAAAAGACGTTTTAACTACTAACTGCACAGTAGCCATTTAACTAACTCACTGGTTTCCTCTTCACTGTAATCTTCAATAAGTTCGTCAGTATAATTATTTCCGAAAACCATTACATTAGCAACCATATCTTTTAATATTTTACGAATATACTTATATTATTAGCATAATACACTGCACTATTTTTGAGTTGAATTGATTATCTTCAGTCAACAGTTACCCATTCTCATATAATTTTCTAAAATTCATAATGTTAAAGCTATGTAGTATTTCTGTTAATATCTTTTATAATATGTTTAGACACGTTACTTTGCAATGTCAGATGTCTACTATATACAAGACTGTCATGATAATTTAGTACACTAAGTCCTGCCAACCGACCTTACCTTCAGTTCATACTACCTACATTGATCCCTAACTATATTGTTCTGCTGAATCTTGCTTCACTATTCACAAAACCTATTCTTTTTATTCTTTAAGGTTTTAACTTCTTGTAAAGTAATCCGTTCATTAGGACGCATGCATACATATATAATGTTCATAAAGATGTATGTGGAGACCTATTGGAAGCACTCATTAAGAAAGCTAGGGAGATGGAATATGGGGTACGAACATGTCTGGTACCAAGCAGTGTATTTGCGGTAGCCATAATAATCATATTCTCAGAGCTTAACATCAAAAAAGGAGGGAGGGTGGCGTTAGCTGATCA